GAAAAAGGTGTTCTGACTTTTTTTTTCCTTCCCCATTTAGTTTTTCCATGGTTTGGCTTGGATATCGGTGGAACCCTGGTCAAGCTGGTTTATTTTGAACCCAAAGATATCACTGCTGAAGAAGAAGAGGAAGAAGTAGAAAGTCTTAAAAGCATTCGGAAGTACCTGACCTCCAACGTGGCCTATGGGTCCACGGGTATTCGGGACGTGCACCTGGAGCTGAAGGACCTGACTCTGTGTGGACGCAAAGGCAATCTGCACTTTATACGCTTTCCCACTCATGACATGCCTGCTTTTATTCAAATGGGCAGAGATAAAAACTTCTCGAGTCTCCACACTGTCTTTTGTGCCACTGGAGGTGGAGCGTACAAATTTGAGCAGGATTTTCTCACAGTATGCATTTTTTAGCTTATATACAATTTATGGTTATCTTATTGTTAAAAATAATACCAGTAACAAGAGGTGGAATCATTTCCATCTCTAATGGAACTTGAATTTTCTTGAGTGAAATTAAGATTAAATGTAAATTAGTGATAGACAGAAGTTAGCCGTCTAGAGATTGTTGTATAGTTTACTTTTTGCCCGGTTTAGATGAGTTGATGAGAATCAGAACCACTAAAAGCATAGCATTTTATTGTTGTTTAGTATGGAAAAATAGTGAAGCTGTGATAAGTAGAGTAAGAACCTACCTATAAATAACAACATCGTTAAATCTTGAACAATGAGATTGAAAAATAATTTTTAAAAATTAGTGTCATTTTATGTCATAAAATTGTTTCCAATCTCCTCTACTGTATAGTTTCTCTTATCTCCTTCAATTGCTTCTTGGTAGGTTTATTGTTTAAAAACCAAGGAACTCTGGTGAAAAGCAGTGGTTTTCAGGCCTCAGGACTAGTGAGAGATGGTTGACAGCAGTTTCCTCTCCCCAAATGCCTTCTGATGTGTTGTTCTGTGCTGCACACTTATTAACAGGCATCTCTGGGTCATGTCTGGACACTAGGGGGAGTGCCAGTGGGCACTTGGTTTGTTTTCATTCAGTGAACACTGCAAGACCTTGAGGTTAGGTCCTTTGAAGGTGGATGTGGGGGTAGGTGGGAGAATTGACAAGGGAATTGGCCAAGACTCTGACCTTCAGGGTGATAATAGATTTAAAATATCTTCAGTGACCATGGTTTTAATGCCACCAGTGAGAATATTATTCCAGAGATTCTGCCTTTGCCTATGCTATTCTAAATTTCTTTTCCCCCATGTGTCACTGTATGATTTGTGACCTTGTCCTTTCTTTGTCCTGTATCTCCTGACTTTCTCTCATAACTGACCATAATCATAATATGGAATTGAATTTTAAAAATGAATTTTTAAACAAGGTTTTTTTATAGTCTTTGCTTGAATTTCTCTTGGTTGTTGGTTTTCAGTGGTTTCTTTTCCACCTGTGAGTAAATGGAAGGTAGCAGGAGGAGAGAAGGTTCCCTTTCTTTGTGGAAGCCTGTGACTGATAGATAAAGGAGAAAACCTCTCTATATCCAGCATCCTGCAGAGGCCCTGTGGAATGTTCTTGAAAACCATTCAGGCTGTTACCAGAGGTTCAGCATTGTGTGGTAAATCCCAAGGAAAGGATGGATGCAAAGTGGATTTTAGACCTTAGGAATTGCTTCTTAGGCTGTTGGGGTTTCTCATTTGTATTCACCAGCACTAGCCTTGAAAACTATGAAAATGAAATGCCTATCAAATCCTGTTTGTTTATTAGGAGTGACTAATATTTAATAAATGGCAGTGAAATAGTTTTAAAAATATTGAATTTACCATTTCCTTTTTAATGTGAATCAGACTTCCTCAAATGTTGAGTTTGCATGTTGGTGCCACACCTACATTGAATAACTTGTGTTAGTGAAATGACCTATGCATTCAGTCATCTAACTATTGTCAATTAGGCTGGGATTCATTAGGAATAATAGCACAGCAGGGCACTTCAGGATAACATGAATTATGGGAAGGGCAAAAGGAGACACTGGTTTGGCATGCAATGGCAGAAAGCTACTTGGATTGCTATAGGCCACCAGTGTAACATGATTTGGCTTAGAAATGAAAATGCTGGCATGTAAGATTCAAGTGTCAGGAAGTCGGTGTTTAAATTAGTCTTGGCAGGGAGGTCTTAAGATGAAGTAAGGACAGTGATGGGCTGTGTGTATAAGAGGGTTGGATTGCCTCAATATTCTGATATTTTTCTTTCTGATCTTTGTAATGTTTTATAAAAGGTGTGTGCTTCCAAATCAGACAGAATCATATTTCTTCTCCCCAAAACCTTTTTTTNTAAAGTGATTTTGAAACTTCTTTTAGGAACTAAGACAAATATTCATGTTGTAGGATTTTTTTGTTGTTTGCCGTTTGATGTCTCAGATAATGAGACCCACTAAAAAATAAACAAGGTCTTGTTCTTCCTCCCACTTTCCCTTTGTGTACTGTGCCAGGGTGCCCCTGTTAGATGGCGAGGCAGTGTGTTGGTAGCTGAACCCTCCAAAATATACAGTTGACCCTGGAACAACATGGGTTTGAATTGCACAGGTCCAGTGATACGAGGAATTTTTTCAATAAATACCTGTACTGTTTTCCATCTGCAGATGTGGAGGGCTGACTGTTTGCATTAGTTTGTGCTATTTTATATATGGGACTTGAGCATCCTCTTATTTTGGTATCCACCGGGGGTCCTGGAACCAGTCCCCCTTAAAACATGAGGGACAACTAAGTTTTTGGGGAGTTAGAAGTTATACAGATTTTCGATTGTGCGGCCGTCATTGCCTTTACCCCTTTCTTGTTCAAGGGGCAACTGTACTTTAGTCTTAACTTTGAGAAAATTCAACAAAAACTAAATCTTTCTGTATTTATTGTTGGGGGAGTTGGGTATGGGGTGGAGCTACCTTTCTTTTGAGGTTAGAAAACCTTGTTCCAATGTCATTACACTACTTAGCTAAAGGTGGGAGACTAGTTGTCATTTGAAACTGGAAGGAGCTATTATTCAGTTTATCTTAGGAATTCTTGTGGGCTCTGGTTATAGTCATGTTCAGCCTAGAGCAGTGTGATTTCTAAACCTGTCCCCATCTCAGATTTAATGCATCACTGTCATTAGGGATGATGAGACTAGCTAGGCATGTGTGTGACTAAAAAGTTCTTTAAAAGTTTTAGATTAGGTGGAGAATGTCTCATAGGACTAAGAGAAATACCAAATAAGGATTGATTTAAAATAATGGAAACAAGTATGCTAATGATGGTAATAGGGTGCTTACTTGTTTGTGTTTAGACACTGTGCCAAATATTTTATGAAAGTCTCATTTAAGTCTCAGAATTAATCTTGTGAGGTAGGTATTTTTTATTCCCAGTTTCCAGATTAGGAAACGGACTTAGTGAAATTGTCCCTTTGTCCCAGCACATATAGTGAGTTAGTAATGGAGCTGTGTTTTGATTTTGGGTGTCTGAGCTCAGACCCAGTNTTCCCCCAATTCCCCAATAAAAATTTTTAAAAATAAAAATCAATGAAAAACATTCCAGGACTAGAACTACAATATCATAAAAACTTAATATGTAGATAGGCTAGAAATGACAAAATGGAAAAGAATCACTGAATTGTTCGACCTGATATCTTATTTTGGAATGTGCCTTTCTGTTTTTCCAGTTTGGGGAAAAAAATAGAACCTGAGCTATAAAAGGGGCTCTTTCTTCTTGTTGGTTGTGGGGCAGTTGAACTATTTCAGGTGTTGTTGGGATTTTTAGATACTGTTGTCAATGAATATTTTTCAAATTATATGTGCATATTTACTTTTTAACTGTGTTTATATGAATTTACAGAAATCAAAGTAGAGATTGCTTTTTTCTTTTAAGTACCTTTAAGTTTTTCCTTTTAAGTTGTTTAAGTTCATAGTTAAAATCCAAAGTGCACAAATTTCCCTTATCAAAAAGCTTAAGGTTTGTCAGCTTTTTTAACTTATAATGTTATTATATTAGTAAACTGGTACCGAGTTATCATTTCGTATACCTTTTATATACATCTTTTTATAATCTTTCACCTGTTTTATTTTGCTTTATATTAGAATAAAAAGAAATCCTACTTAATGCTATATTTTTAGTATGACTTCCTGCTGAATTTCTACCTCTCTTTGAACCTTTTTTCTTAGGTAGAACATGGAGATTAATTTCTTAGGTTAACTTTTTTTTTTAACTTATATCTTCATATCACAGTTATAATATAAACCCTTTATGAAACTTTGTTTTTATATATTTTTTGTCATTTCTCTTCGCTGCTGACTTATTTTTCCTCTCTGGTTAGCATTTTCAGTCTGTCTTTCCATTTTCATTCAAGCCTCTGACTCTAGTATTGATTTCTGCACAATTGGAACTTTTATTATTTTAGGCCCTCTGAGTCTTGAAATGTAGTTGACTCTTGAACAGTATGGTTTGCTGGTCCAAGTATACGTGGGGTTTTTTCAGTAAATGCAGTTGGCCCTTTGTATCATGCGTTTTATTCACATCCACGGAGTCAACCAACTGCTGTATTAGTATTCGAGTTCCCAACAGTGGGCTCCCAGATGTGGATTGAAAATACTGGGCTCAGCAAAATGGGTGCACAGGAAATGGGTGTNGCTGGCTGCTGGCTACATATGGTAGCCCATGGCAACCCACTGCCACAGGGGCTGCAGCCTATGCTGTCGCTGGCGACTCATGGCAGCTCAGCTCCAGGTTGAGCTGTTGTTCAGCATCTTAGCTGTGGAGGGCAGTGTCACTGGCCCTCATATGTGGGACCCTCTGGCGTCACAAGCCAGTTCTTAACCATTGTGCCACTCGGCCGGCCGGGGTTTTTTTTTGTTTTTTTTAAATGTTCATTTATTAACTCACATATTTTTTTTTTTTAAAGATTTTATCGGGGAATTGGAGGGGAACAGTGTTGGGGAATTGAGGGAAGGGGAACAGACAAGTTGCTGTCCTTTTGTTCTTCAGTCTAGTTGTGGAGGACGTTGCTTCACTGTCCCATATTGGTATTATCATCGCGCTCTTCCCGGGTGAGGCAGTCGCTCGCTGGCCATTGGACGGTGGCTCAAGGCAGCTCACGAAAGTGCACGCCAGCTGCCGGCCAGCCCCACTGCAGGCAACGCTGTCGCAGGCAAGGTTGTCGCTGGCAACGTGGCATCCCAACTCCAGGTCGAGCTGTTGTTCACCATCTTAGCTGTAGAGGGCGCAGCATCACTGGCCCTCATGTGGGATCCGAACCGTGACCGTGCTCCTCAGAGCTGGCGTCCCAAGTCAACTCTTAGCCAAGGTGCCACTTGGCTGGCCCCCCACTTTAGTTCTTAATTGAAGGAAGATGTTCTTCATTAATTTCTGTACAGTGTTCCATATGTGAATAATAATCATTCTTTTATCAGTTATTTAAATGGAATTAAGCTGATAATAGTGTTTTAAATTCTGATTCTGCTAAAATTCCCCTGTCCTCCGGAGACTGTGACACATTTAAATAGTGGAAAATCTTACCTTCTGATTGGCCATTTTCAGTCTTTTGGCTTCAGGTTATTAATAATAAAGTGTGGCTTACTTTGATACTGCTCCATAGCCTTGAAGATGGTCTTTTGGAAGGCACAAGTCAGTCTTTGTAGCTCCTGCCATGTGTCACCAGGTGCTTGCATCACTTGGATTTCTTGGAGCCTGTTTTCTGATAGTGCTATCATCTGGGCTGTGCTCCTGCTTCATACCTGTGAGCAGGCATCCTGTTTTATGCTTGGGTTTTTGGCATATTTCTGCAGCTGCTGTAAGGTTTGTTGGTAAAGTGTATTTGGGTCTATGGGAGTACGAGTCTGTCTTGTCAGTCTATCCCTATGTTTGTTGTTTCCAGATCTGTTCTGTAAAGCATGCACAAATAATACACATCTGTGAGCACTTTTATGGTTTGTTAAATGTAGATGGATGCCTTATTAAATGAAGTTTTTATTTCTGTTTGGCATGTTAAAAAGTCTGAAAACATTTTTATTTCATTACAGATAGGTGATCTTCAGCTTTGCAAACTTGATGAACTAGATTGCTTAATAAAAGGAATTTTATACATTGACTCAGTTGGATTCAATGGACGGTCACAGTGCTATTACTTTGAAAACCCTGCCGATTCTGAAAAATGTCAGAAGTTACCGTTTGATTTGAAAAATCCATACCCTCTGCTCCTGGTGAACATTGGCTCTGGGGTTAGCATCTTAGCAGTGTATTCCAAAGATAATTACAAACGGGTCACTGGTACCAGGTAGGTCTTTTATATAAAGGTATCTATATCTATCTATCTATCTATCTATCTATCTATCTATCTATCTATCTATCTATCTATCTATCATCTATCTATCTATCTATCTATCTATCTCTATCTATAGGTCTTTTATATAAAGGTATCTATATCTATCTACCTATCTATCTATCTATAGGTCTTTTATATAAAGGTATCTATATCTATCTAATCTAATCTAATCTAATCAAATCAATTATCTGCCTGCCTGCCTACCTACCTACTTTTTGTCAAAAAGACTTTATTGGGACGCCAGGGACGCCCCGAGCGTGCCACTCCCTCGCGCTGACCCTCCGTTCGACCCCATGCTCACCCCTGGCGTGCCCGCCCTCCCCCGTGGCGCCTGGGGCAGTGCCACGCGTTCCGCTTACTGCTCTCCAGCTGCCAAGTGGCTGCAGCGACAACACCAAGTTCGGCCTAGACCCAGTTGATGGGTTTTGCTGCGGCTGTACCGTGGAGGGCAGGAGCTGCACCAGTCACTATTTATTCTTGATATATAATGAGTTAATACTGAATTTTCAAGTATTGTAAATATAAGTATACCTACGAGAATCTGTTAAAATTATGTGGCGATACAAATTTTTCTGGTCTTAATGCAAACAAGTCTTTTCTCTTTTAAAGTTCTGATTTCATGACCTATTCTTTAATCTCAAGGTTTCATTACCATAGTTGCATAAAGCTCATTAGCAGACTGGTGGAGTCCATAGTCCCTGCTCTCAGATAGTGTATGGTGTGCATATTTCACAAAGTAACCAAAGTCAGGTAGCATCTATAAGGAGAAGGCAAGGCAAAATCGTTGCTTTGAAACCGGCCTAGATTTTGAGAGAGACAGAGAGACAGAGACAGAGAGAGAGAGAGACAGATACACCACACCCCTGGGATGGTGTGAAATCTAGAAGTTGAGGTACCTACTTGAGCAATAGAGAAATGATTGGGGGAGGGTAGTCTGAAACAGCAGGATTAGGTGGCAGATGAGAATTGAATGTTTTTGGAGGAAAACAAGGCACTGGGATTGGGATAAACAAGTTTTTTTAACAGGTGTGAGTTAAAGAATGAGAGGAGTAAATTTTTTTTGGGAAACACATTTATGGAAGAGTTCTAGTGGGGGCCTGATGAGCCAGGGTGACAAGGTGCTTGGATGGGGATGACTTGGGTCATGCTCTTGGAGAGAAAAGGAGGAGGTGCCAGCAGGTCCTAGGTGTGGGCTGATCTGCTCCTCAGGCTCCTGGTACTCAGCAGATGCCCAGATTGAACTGGGGAAAAGCACGGGAGGTGGGCCCTGAGTTTTGCCACTTTGCTTGTTGGCGCACATAAATGTGTATCTTTAGGGTGTCTATTAGGCACCTGTTTTTATCTTTTCATAGGCTTATTTCTTGCTAGTGGCATCTGCATGATTGGGTTGGGGCAAGAGTGGATTGATACATGAATATGGTTTTGGGTTCATAAATATTTCCTATTTTCAAAATGTTTTAACATTGTGTTGTTTGTTATTAATTACAGTCTTGGAGGTGGAACTTTTTTTGGTCTCTGCTGTCTGCTTACTGGCTGTACCACTTTTGAAGAAGCTCTTGAAATGGCATCTCGTGGAGATAGCACCAAAGTAGATAAACTAGTGCGAGACATTTATGGAGGGGACTATGAGCGGTTTGGACTGCCAGGCTGGGCTGTGGCTTCAAGGTAAGAGGGCATGTGTTCTAAGAAATACAGGAATAAAATATGAAATATTGGATATATCTTTTCCTTTTTAAACAGGTATACATACTATTAAGTCACCTGTTTAAGGTGTTCAATGTAGTGGTTTCTAGTGTATTTATATAATTGTGGAGCCATCACCATAATCCAATATCAGAATATTTTCATCATCTCAGAAAGAAACCTTGTATCTATTAGCTGCCACTCCCCATTTCCCCATCCCCAGTCCTTGGTAAAAACTAACCTATTTTCTGTTTGTGTAGATTTGCCTATTCTGGACACTTTATATAAATGGTGTCATGCATATAATAATGTGGTTTTTGTGTCTGGCTTATTTCGCATAATGTTCTCAAGGTTCATCCATGTTGTAGCATGAATCAGTACTTTGTTCCTTTTTATCGCTGATAATATTCTATTTTATGCATATGGATATATAACATCCATTTCCCAGTTGATAAACATTTGGGTTGTTTCAACTTTTTGGTTATGAATAATGCTGCTATGAACATTCATGTACAAGTCCTTGTATGGACATACTGTTTTTTAATTCTCTTGGATACATTCGTGTACCTAGGACTAGAATTGCTGGATCATGTGATAACTGTCTAATCTTTTGAGGAACTGCCAGATGGTTTTCTAAAGTGGCTGCACCATTTTACAATCCCATTTTACAAACCTGCAGCATATAAGGGTTTAAATTTCTCCATATCCTTGCTAACACTTATTATTGCCTGTCTTTTTGGTTTTAACTGCCTTAATAGGTATAAAGTGATCTCTCGTTGTGGTTTTGATTTGCATATCCCTGATGACTAAGGATGTTGAACATCTTTTCATGTGCTTATTGACTGTTTGTCACCTTTGAAGAAATGTCTGTTCAAGTCTTGTGCTCACTTTTTAGTTGGATTGTCTTGTTGAGTTGTAAGAATTCTTACACGGTCTCGAGACAAGTCCCTTATCAAATATATATTGGGTTGTCGGCAAAGTCATGACGTATTTTTTCTGTTTTTCGTTGCAAAAATGCGTCATGACTTTTCCGACAACCCAATTTACAAACACTTTCTCTCATTCTGTTGGTTGTCTTTTCACTCCCTTGATGGTATTCTTTGCAGCATAGAAGTTTTAAATTTAAATCGATAAGATGAAGTCCATCTTATCTATCTTCACTTTCTTCACTTGTGCTTTTGGTGTTACATATAAAAAATCATTGCCTAACTTAAGATCATGAAGATTTACTTCTGTATTTTCTTCTAAGAGTTAGTTTTATAGTTTTAGCTCTTACATTCTGGTCTATGATCCATTTTGAGTTAATTTTTGTGTATGGCCCAAATTCATTCTTTTGCTTATGAATATACAGTTGTCCCAGCACCATTTGCTGAATAGACTGTTCTTTTCAATTGAATTCTTGGCCCCTTTGTTGAAAATAGTTGACCATAAATGTATGGTTTATTTCTGAATCTTAATTCTGTTCCGTTGGTGTTTATCATTATGCCAGTACCAGACTGCCTTGCTTACTGCAGCTTTGTACTAAGTTTTAAAATTAGGAAGTGTGAGTCTTCCAACTTGTTCTTTTTCAAGATTGTTTGGCTAATCTGGGTCCCTTGACTTTCTATATGAATTTTAGGATCAATTTGTCAATATCTGCAAAAAAAGGCAACTGAGATTTTGATAGGGATTATGTTGACTCTGTAGATCATTATGGAGAATATTGCCATCTTTTTTCTATTTTATCTTTTTAGAATATTGCCTTCTTAACACTATCTAGTCTTCTGATCCAAGATGGAGTATCTTTTCATTTATTTATACCTTTGCTTTCTTTCACCAGTGTTTTGTAGTTTTCAGTGTACATGTTACACTTTTGTAAAGATCACTAAGCATCTTATTCTCTTTGATAGTATTGTAAATGGAATTATTAATTTCATATTTGGATTGTTTGGAAATACATTTTTTGTGTGTGTGTTGGAGCACGTGGTTTTTAATAGAAAAGGCACTCATATACATGCGTGTTTACTAATTTTAGGCACTTTGTAAATGCTGTAGATTTCATTTTCTGTGTTTGCAGCATTTGCTTATTGGTAATCACTTCTTTTTCTGATTGGGTTTGTTTTCTGGTCACAGTTACTAATGTAGCAATTATGCAGGTCAGGTATTTTGAAGTACTTGATCTTACAGGGAAATCTGAAGCTTTTAAGTAGTTTACCCTGGAACCCGGCTGTCTGCACTTTGCTTGGCTAGGAGAATAAAGCAGTTTACCAGATGTGAATATGATCATTTAGCTGAGAGGAGCAGCTGGGCAGCTGGGGGGGAATTACTGTTAGAGATGTCTTCCTGGAACTTTCCCTCATTGCAGAAGGAGCAGTGGTGCCTTACAGTGGATCTGATGAGATTCTAACTGAATATGAATATCTGGTATCAAAGCTGGAGAGATTTCAGTGGAAACCAGGAGGAATGCTCATTTGCTCATTCAGGGTTCTCTTTGAAGCTGCATTTCTCTCTCTTTTTTTTTTTTTTCAAGAAATGCGATGTTTGTTTTTTTTAGATTTTTTTTTTTTATTGGGGAATTGGGGGGAGGGGAACAGCACTGGGGAATCCCTGAAGGGGAACAGACAAGTTGCTGTTGTTTTTTGTTCTTCAGTCTAGTTGTGGAGGATGTTGCTTCACTGGCCCAAGTTGGCACCATCATTGTGCTCTTCCCAAGAGAGGCAGATCAGTCGCCGGTTTCTGGACCGCCGCTCACTGCAGCTGCTGGCAGCTCACGCTGGCTGCTGGCTACCCACGGTAGCCCATGGCAACCCACTGCAGCCTAGCAGTCACCAGCGACTCATGGCAGCCCAGCTCCAGGTTGAGCTGTTGTTCAGCATCTTAGCTGTAGAGGACAGTTTCACTGGCCCTCATATGTGGGATCCGAACCGGGGCGCTCTGGTGTCCCAAGCCAGTTCTTAACCAACGCGCCACTCGGCCGGCCCCTCTGCTGCATTTCTCTTTGAGCAGACGCTTCTTTATTTTGTAATGAAAAGTTTAAAGATTTGAACAATGTTGCTCTAAAAGTCACTTTTATCTTAGTAAAGTAACAGTCAAGTTCTATTGGGCTGTGTTGCCTGTGGTTTATTAAAGGGATATGTTTTTTTCCATCACAGCTTTGGAAACATGATGAGCAAGGAGAAGCGAGAGGCTGTCAGTAAGGAGGACCTTGCCAGAGCAACTTTGATCACCATCACCAACAACATTGGCTCCATAGCAAGAATGTGTGCCCTTAATGAAGTAAGGGGGCATGGATTTCTTTAGTCACTATGAGGAAAATACAGAACTTCCTGAGTGGGCCCCACCTTGTGTACATCTGTCTTCTCTGAACAGGGCCTAAATGTAGTCAGTCATACGTGCTGGAGTTTGTTTCATTGGCAAAGTTACAGCTCTTTACGTGTAGACTAACCTTACTTTTTTTTCTTACTGAAAATAAACACTGCAGCTCTGTAGAGGTAGACGAGAAAGTAGAGGAAGTTAGGAAGGTAGGCATTGCTCCAGATGATGGGGGCTGTTGGGTGGTGGTGGTGATGGGCAGTGATGTTGGATCCAGAGTCTGTGCGGATGTGGAGCTTTAGAATCCCTGGGAAGGAATGACTCGAGAGGAAGTCATTGAAGCTGGGAGAAGACAGAGCGGGCTGAGGAATGACCACCCTGCTGCCCCTCCACTGCAGCAGAGCTGTCTTTGTGCTTTCAGCTTCTTTACAGTGCTGCCTTGTAGCATTCAGGTCAAGCAGCATTGTACAGGGCTATGAAAGAACCAAGAATGGCCTTCCCTTGGGGATCCAGTTGGTGCAGCTTTAATAGCTTGTCTCTATTCATTTTTATTTAAAATTATTTTTTTAAACAAATAAAATAGGCATGTGGCTTATAAAGGAAACCATAAAAGGTACAAAAGTATTGTTTCATTTTTAATTAAAAAGATACTGTATCAGATCAGCATGAAGTAATTTAAAAAAATTCATTTGCGTATGTTAACACTATTTTCTTTATTGCATGTTCCCTTTCCTGTGCTTATGTATTTAAGATTTTAGTTGGGTATATATACCATTTTATATTTTTTTGTAAATATAAATTTCATGGCTGTATATGTGATTTCTTTTTATATTATAAGTCACTCATACAGAGCTGGGCATTTAGTTGCTTGCCAGTGATAGCTTTGCAGTAAAGCATTTTTAAGCATGAAACTATTCCTTGGTTGATGATGGACTTACTCAGGAGTGAGTTTTCTCATTTAAAGAGTATGACCGTACCGTGTTCATGAATCTTGATACGATTTTGCCAAGATGCTGTCTTTGCACAGGGGCTGCACCAGTGTAGGTCATCTTTAGCAATTCACGAGTGGATCAGTTTTACCACAACTTGACTTAACATACGGGGTGGAATTTCAGTTAGTTGTTTTGCTAACACTTAATAGGTCTACATTTTTATTTTTTTGATCACTAGTGAGGTTGACTTTTTTCCTGTAATATTTCTTGTATAATTTGCTTACTTGTCACTTTCCTTCTTTGAATTGGTTCTCAGTATTTTTTTTACTTACCTGTGTAAAACTTTTTATTTAATAGTAGTTAATGCTTGTCATATTTAATACACATTTTTCGTAATCTGTTTTCTCCTGTGACATTTCCTGATATGCTTTGAAGTGGGTCCAGAGTTGTCTGAGGATCAAATATAAGTAGCATTGGATCAGTTAGATTAAATGTAAATACCTTTTCTTGATCAGAAGCTAACTTGCTGCTAAAAACCATGCACATGGTCTCTGGGGTAGCTTTTAAGTGAGAACAAAAATTAAAGATTAAAATTAATTGCCTTTGTTTTTGATGTGCTCAGAACATTAACCAGGTGGTATTTGTTGGAAATTTCTTGAGAATTAATACGATCGCCATGCGGCTTTTGGCATATGCTTTGGATTATTGGTCCAAGGGACAGTTGAAAGCACTTTTTTCGGAACATGAGGTAAGCAAACTTATTTCCTGTAATAATGTTGCTATAATATAAAGGTCATACAGCTCATACTGCATTGGAATTTGAAGTAGAGATGAAATGGGCAGCAGTACTTCTTAATATTTTTGTGATTGTATGATATGAGGTTTAACTTCGTAATTTTCAGAAGCTATTTCTTACACGATTTAATGCAAGGTAGATTTTTGGTTAATTGTGAGCTTCAGCAATTAAAAAAAAAAGCCTCAGTGAACATTCAACTATATTTCTTTCTTTTTTTTAAAGATTTTATTGGGGAATTGGGGAAGGGGGAACATTGTGTTTTTCCAGGACCCATCTGCTCCAAGTCAAGTTGTTGTCCTTCAATCTTAGTCGTGGAGGGCGCAAGCTCAGCTCCAAGTCCAGTTGCCATGTTTATTTTAGTGGCGAGGGAGCTACAGCCTAGCATTTCATGCAGGAGTCGAACAGGCAACCTTTTTGTTAAGAGCATGCGCTCTCACCAGCTGAGCCATCTGGCCACCTGTTGGCAGCTCAGCGGCAGCTCAGCTTGGGTGCAGCTCACTGGTCCATGTGGGAATCAAACCTGCGACCCTGTTGCTCTGAGCTCGCGCATTTAACCAACTGTGCCACCTGGCCGAGCCTCAGCTATGTTTCTGATGCCTTATTTTCTGAACCGTTCATTATATTTTTTCCATTGCACTTACTTTATAAATGCACTTACTTTGGGTTCTGCTTTTTTCATTTTTTTGATGTCAGTTTTTATGTATTTGATACAGTTTATTTGTCATTTATTTAAGATGTGTCTTTTAAAAACAAATAGATCAAGGCCGGCCGAGTGGCTTGATGGTTAAGAGCTGGCTTGGGACGCCAGAGGGCCCCGGTTCGGATCCCACATATGAGGGTCGGTG